TTTTTGAAAGAGAGAGAGAGAATTTATATATATATATATATATATATATATATATATATATATATATATATATATATATATTTAGTTTTTGGTGGACACAACATCTTTATCTTTATGTGGTGCTGAGGATCGAACACAGCGCCGCGTGCAAGCCAGGCGAGCGCACTACCGCTTGAGCCACGTCCCCAGTCCCTGGAAAGGTTTTGAGGGGAGAAATGTGTTGGACCCATTCCACTAGTAAAAGCACCCTCTCGATGGGTAAGAGTTCCCCAGTGTTTTTATCTAAGTACCTCTGGAAACCTGGAGATCTTCTCCAGGATCCCTGGGAGAAGGATCCATTTGGGGTTTCCTCCTCCGATGGGATGGCACCCCACCTTAGCATTCCTCTGCCTGGCTCAGCCGGGGCTCAGAGGAAGGGTTCAGATGGGGGTCAGCCCGGATGCCAAGTGTGCGTTCCATTGACCTGTCCAAAGTACCATCCTGTAGAAACTGCGAGTCCATTCTGCCTGACAAGCTTCTTTCCTGGGTTTCTGTTCAGGTGGCTCAGGCGGGGAAATGTTCACCCTCCCCAAGCTGTGAGGATGGAGTTAGGCAGCAATTCCATCTGCTTGTGGTGGTCAGCTGTATTTGCATTCTCTGATTGTGTCCATTGGGAGGGGTTGCAGTGTGTGCGTGTGCTGATTGATGGGCCTGGAGTAGGGTGCAGCTGGGGACATCAGAGTCTCAATCGTAGTAATGTCAAGAAAAAGTTCCAAAGTTCTAACTGGTTCAACAGTAATATGAATTTGATTGTTTTGAGTTTTGAATGTGATCAAGAGGGTTAGAATTAAGCCACCTGGATGAGGACTCAAGCAGGGAAAGTGTCATTAAGGTTGGCCTCTGTATCAATCTACAGACCTCTACCGTGTGGGCCAGCCTGTTCTGGAGCTGCCTTCAGACAGAATCGTGCTGGGAACAAGAGACTCCATGGCAGATAGAGCTTCGAGGGCCAGCCCTACAGCTTTTAAGACCAGCCTGACTTCTCATATCCCTTGGGACCAGTTTCTCCCTCCTGGGGGTGAGACTTGGATCTTATAATGGGAAGAGAGAATTAAACTCTGGGACTGCTAGCCACGAACTGCGCAGGGCATCGTGCTAAGGGCTTTACATCCGTGATCTCGTCACCCACACAGCTGCTTTGCTGATGAGGACATTGACACTTAAAGAGGTTAAGTAATTGGATCAAGGCCACCCAGCTGGCAGGAACCCAAGGTTCTAGAATCCAAATCCAGATACGCCTGACTCCAGAGACGGCTCTTAACTAGACGTGCCCAAAGAAGTCAGGTTTGTTATTAGTATTCCTAGATTTTTTTTGCTTTCTTTATTATTTCCTCCTCTTTATCCTGGCAATGAAAAGAGAGCTGTGTGTCTTTTCCATTTCAGGACACCCAGTGTCTTCTCTTTGGACTTTCAATATTGAACGTGGGCAGGCTGCCTGATTCAGTTTTGCTTAACTCCTCACTTGTGGGTTTTCTCTTCTGAGCAAGGATATTGGCTTCCTAAGTCCTAGGCCTAAGTGTTAATTTCTGAGTCTTAGCTCTTCACTAGCTCAAAGGCAGGATAATGTAGTAAGTAAACACTAACTGGGGGTGTGGCTGAGTGTTACAGCACTTGCCTAGCAGGCACGGGGTCTGGGTTCCATCCCAGCACCACAAAGCAAACAAACAGAAAACCACCCAAGGCTTTGGGAAAAAGTTCAAGTTGTACTCGACCAGTAATAGCTCTGTGACCTTGACTGAGTTATTCCACCTCTATGAGCCCTCAATAATACCCACCTCCAGAACCGTTCACTTAATCTATAGCACCATGCCAGGCCCCAGAGACCCACAGTTGTAAGGTTTCTGTGAAACAATATAGGTGCGGTGCTGGGCACAGGACCTAGAAGACAATAGGGGCTGGATAATGAAGAGGAGACCCAAATTGTAGAACAGCCATCACTGGGCAGGAGACAGGGAACGAGGTGTATCCTGAGTAGGGACACTCTCAAAATGACCTTGTAGGGGTCAAGGGTGTAGTCAAGCTCAGTGGCAGAGCACTTGCCTGGCATGTGCAAGGCCCTGGGTTTGATTCCCAGCTCTGCAAAACAGACAAAATATAAAAAAACCCAGATCTCATATAATCTTGCATAATCAAATACCTCCTTGCCCTGGCTGAGACTCAAGAATAGTCATAGCCAAATTTTCTTGAGCACCAAATATACACTTTACTTGTATTAGTCCATAATCCTACAATAACCTTCTAAAGTAGCCTTTACTCATTTATTTAATCTAATTTTAATTTTTTTGCAGACCTGGAGATTGAACTCGGGGCCTCTCCCAATCGAGGAACTCTACCATTGACCTACATTCCTAGTCCCTAAAATAGGTTTTATTAGAGCTTCATTTCATAGAGGAGGACATGGAGACCCAGAGGGAGAAAGTACGTTTCCTGACACCACACAACTAATAATCTGAACCCAGCCAGACTGACTCCACAATTCATGGTCTTACTGCTTGTCAAACCTGTCACACAAGGTTTGTCTGATTTTTGCATCAGATGTCTATGCAGCAGCCCCGAGTGGCTCCAGAAGGGACACATTGAGGCAAGGGGTGGCAGAAAGTTGTGCTGGAAACTTTATTTGGAGATCCTGTGCTCCTGGGTTCTTCTCTGTCCCACAGATCCCCGCCCACGTTACACCTGCTGTGTCTCTCTGACATCAGCCAGGGCCAAACCAGCTCATCCTGAAAGACAGCGCTTGTGACGCCCAGGAGTGGAGGAGCCTGCTGGGGTGGCATGTGGGTGGCCTGGCCACTGCTCTTACTGCCAAAGGCCCAGGCTGGTTCAGCACAGTCTTGGAGACTTCAAAAAGGCTAGAGAGGCCCTGCCCACCTGCTTTGCTCCAAGATACTCACTGCCTGAAGGAACCACCCTTGCACTGGGCGCAGCCTGGGCTGTTCCTACCTTCTCCAGATGCTTGCTGCTTTGGTTAGCACCTGCCTGCATTTCCCCCATCACTCTGGCCCTACTGCCTCTTTCCTCTGTCTTCCAAGAGATTGGCTCTCACCTTTACTCTCAGTCCTGCAGTTCAATCCCAATCCATTGCCTTTCTCTGGTGGCCTAGTTGGGATGCCCCAGCTTCTCACCCTCTGGCTTTTCCCTCCTCCTCTTCCTGCTCTCTGGTTCACATCCTCTCACCTGGTAGAACCATTAAATCAAAGATCACCTGCCATGCCTCTGGGTTTCACCAGCCTGATCCCTGAGGATCCCATAGGTCCTCCTATGACTTCTGGGGCCTGAGGCACTGGTCTTCTTCCTTACTTTTTTTGAGGTGCTGAGGATCCAACGCAGGGCCTCACAAATTCTAGGCAAGTGCTCTGCTTCTGAGCTACATCCCCAGACACCTTGGTTTTATTTTGAGACAGGGTCTCACTAAGTTGCTGAGGCTAGCCTCGAACTTGTGATGCTCCTGCCTCAGCCTCCTCAGTCAATGGGATTAGGTGTGCACCACTGCACTTGACTCTTAAAATATATTTTTAAAATTATATTTTACAACTGCATTGGTATAAAATAAGCATAATCAAGTCTGGAATATATTCTTTTTTAAGTTCTTATTTTAAATATATGAAAACATTTTCTTGGGTTCCTAAAGTTGGGTTCCTGGGGCACCAGGGGCTATGCCTCTTGGGCATCATGGCAAAGTCAGCTCTGCATGGAGGGTCAGTAAATTTAAGTAAAGCCCCTTGGATTTTTTTTTTTCTCTTTGGAAACCATACTTTGAAATTTTGCATTCTTTTTATTGGAAAAACAATATAATTACTAAGAATATTTTTATACACTCCCCCAGATCTCATAATCTCATATTCTAACATGACTCTTTTCATGTGAGGGGTTCACTTCCTTTGTCAGATGTGAAGTTATTTCACACAACCCCTCACTGTGGTGCTTCCGAAGTTTTGCATTCTGTTTTTACCATTTACCATTATTTTATTTTAAAAAATATATGTATACATTTTATTTTTTCAGTTTAGTTGGACACCAAAACCTTTATTTTATTTGTTTTTATGTGGTGCTGAGGCTCCAACCCAGCACCTCGCTCGTGCTAGGCGAGTGCTCTACCACTGAGCCCCAGCCCAGCCCCATTAAAAACGTTAGTTTATTGAAAACATTTTCTGTGTTTCCACAGCACTCTTCCTACCCGTCAGGTTGACTTGTGGCGCTCCACTGACTTCCCCCTGTTCGTTTCTTTTCTGACTCTGCCTTTATTCTGTCTTACTGTTTCCTCTTCTTTCCAAGACTTAGTCTGGGACAGCTGAGCTTTCTGTAAATTCTCACCCCATGTCTCAATCAGAACTTCAACTATCAGGTTGATTGCACCAAAGAAAATGCACTTTGAAGACAATTTTTCCAAATGGCAATTGGCGTTCAATGACCTGCTTGCCCCCCCTCCATACTGCATTGCCTGCGTTTGAGAGCCATCTGGGCCACGGGCCAAGGTCCTGTTGAATAAACTGTGTTCTAGTAATGGGACCACATCATCAGAGTCTGAAGGTACCTTGGACACAATTCAATCCAACTTCATTTCTTTACAGATAAGGAAACGGAGGCTCAAAGAGGTTACTAGACCCAATTGGGATCAGAGAACCAAGAAGCGATTTGAAACTTGACTCTGTAACTCTAAAAGATTTCTGCCCTTTCCTAAGACCATGATCTCTGAATTTGATGAAGGGGAACTTGTTCCTATTGCTGCAGCATAGACTGAGCAGTTAGATTATAGATTTTTTTTTACAATTATTTTGTTCCCTATTTTATCTTAGTAGTATTCTAATGGGAAGAAAAAAAGGAAAACTTCACAATGCGATTTTTAGTGAAGTGCATACTCTGAAGTGATCTGAAGAATTTGTTCACACAGGATTACCTTCACCTGTTCTCTGTGGCGACTTTGATTCTGGGGTCTGTCGATGCATTTGTTCAACTGATCTTACCTTTTCAGAGACAATGAGCAGATCAATCTTTGTCCCAAAATAGCCAGGCCCACGCTGGTACTAGCAACCTGCAGACAACAAAAACATTTGTCGCTAAGGTGAATGAATCTGTCTGTTTGGGCCACACGTTGAAGTTTCCAATAGTGGAAGCATCATCAACCAAACTTTCCCTCTTATTCAAAGAAGCTGGCAAGAAATAGCTCTGAAAATCCTGCCTTTCAGCTAGGGGAACTATAAAGATTTATTATTTGAGGCTCTTCTTTAGATTATTCTTCTCTTTTCTCCTAACCTCTCTTCTCTGTGTAGGCCTTGTGATTTTGCTTAGGTTCATTGTATTCATTCCCTCCTATCAGACTGCACTTGGACTTCATCTGATCAAGTGAACTTGAGTTCCACCTTGATTGCTTTATTTTGAAGAAAAAGGAAATCCAGCTATCCATGTAACTGAGGTAGTGGGGAGGGAACACAGGATGCAGAGATTGGAGAGAGATTTGACGTTGCATGGGGGAGTGAGTCTGGCCTCCCACCCCTCCACACCCCTCCTCTGAAACTGAGGGAAACTCCGAACAGACCACCTGCTCTTGGTTCCCGAACAAGTCCTCTAAACCTCACCTGTTCTTAGTTGCTTTTAGTTGACTACAGATAATACCTCTGACATGTAGGTCCCAGGGGTGAAGTTTGATGAAGTCTGAGCCAATCACCTTTCCCCACTCCTCAGCCATAAGTATCCCCAAACCCTATCCTTGGGGAGATGCATTTTTGACTTGCTCTCTGTCTCCACATGTGGCCGCCTCATGAATAAACTTTCTCTTCCCAAACTCATTAACAGTGATTGGCATTCTGTGCAGTGGGCAAGTCAGTCTCACTGAGGCTGGCTTTGAAATTGGGATCCTCCTGCCTCAGCCTCCCGCACCTCTGGAATTGCAGGCATGTGCCACCAAGCCCGGCTTATCCTCACTCTTAATCGATGCTTCAGCCTTTTCCTCCAAACACTTAGAAGCTGCTGGTCAATGTTCCCTGGCAACAACGGGAATGGCGCCCACAGGCTGCCCTCCTGGCCCCCAGACTTACAAAGTCCATGGAGACGATGGATTGGAGCGTCGAGTTCTCGGGTTGGGTGAGCATCATGATGGAGGCAGGGATGTCCAGGGTGAAGTTGCCCGGCTGCAAGTTGACTATGGGAGGCTCCGTGGCCATGATCTGCAGCATGAAGGGCTGGGACAGGATGTAGATCTCTGCAATCTGCCCCGTTCAGGAAAGAAACAGAGACTGAGTGGGTGAAGGGAAACCGTGAATGTGGGGTGGTCTGGGAGAATTGGATTTTACACCATGGAATTAGAATAGAAGAAAGTTCTTTCGTAGTAATAAAAATAGCACGAGAAAACCCAACAGAAATTACAGCTGACGTTTATCATCCATCCAGGGTGCCAGCTACCGTGGCAGGGGCTTTAGGTATTATCTCCTCAAATCTTCAAAAAGCTCCTGAGGCGGGTATCTGTACCCCTGATTCATAATGGAGAATGTGAGTCGTGTGGAGGTTAGGGGATTTCTCAAGGCTCAAGCTAAAGTGTTGTGGAACTGAGATTTGAGCCTAGGTCTGTTTGAGTGGAGCTTCTTTCTCTAAAGTGTCATCATCCTTGAAGGCAGACCTGAGCCTGTAGGTCCCTCGTGTCCCAAACTCAGTCTGCCATAAAGGTATGCTGTTAATAGATGCTTCACTAAGGTCACAAGTGTGGGCATCTACCCTTCACTCAAGGATTGAGTTCTTCACTTAAGCTAATAAATAAAACTAATTATTTCAGGTGTGGTGGAACCATGTGGAAGGAACTGATTTATTTTATGAACTCACAGGCCTTTAATAGTATTTTTTTTAAAAAAATACTTTTTAGTTGTCAGTGGACCTTTATTTAATTGATTTCTATGTGGTGCTGAGAATTGAACCCAGTGCCTCACACATGCCAGGCAAGCACTCTACCACTGAGCCACCACCTCAGCCCCCCTTTAATAGTACTTTAACCCATACTTTAATTCTACTTTTCCAGATACTGGTTAGTAAATATAGGTGGATATTTGAGTAAAAAAACAAACAAACAAACAACCTCTTAAGAACAGAAAGATGAACCCATGCTGGGATCAAAAGAAAATACAAGAACCCACAAGCCCCCCACCCCCAAGTGATTTCAGTCGAAACAAGCCTACAACCAGGGGCTCCAACCCAGAGCACTCACCTGGGAGAGCACGTTGCCAAGGCCTTGGGAGTTTTGAATGAAATGCTTGGAAATCTGAAACACAAGCACACCACGTCACTGTAAGGCTTTTACCCTGATGTCTTTTCAGGGCAAACGTGGTGTCCCCTATAATTTTATGAATTATGAAGATAAAACATTTAGGGTGACCTATTGCTTTAGAGTCCAACCCCTGGGAACCTGAGGCCCAGAGAAGTAAAGTAAGTCACCCAAGGTCAGACAGGGGTTACAGTCCATCTGAATAAGCTGTACTCTGTGTGTATCCTACAGGGGCACCCGTGTGGGGATATTCTGCAACAATAAGGCTTGTGTGGTCATCTTCAGAGATGACTGAGAAGGAATGCTCATGTAATTTACCTTCACAGATAAACAGCCTTGGGTCCAAAGGTAGAAGTGTCTAACTTTTAGTGCATAAAGTAGCTGTTGCTGCCACACTTACCACCTTGAACATAAGACTTAGAACTACCCGTATAACTAAGGCACAGAGGAGGAGGAGATCTAAGAGGGATGCTCAAGAAAAGGTTTTGATTGGCTGGAGGGAGTGTTCTCACAGAAGGGAGGCACACTCGCTTACTGCCAGCAGGAGGGCTTCTGTTGACCCAGCCCGGGAGTCCTGAGGACGACCAAGAGCTACACAGCACCTGCTCTGTGCTGGGCCTTGGTCTGGGGGCTCCACATGCACTTAAACTTTTTAGTGCCACCAAAAGCCTGCGAGTGTGCAGCTCCTTCCCAAGTGAGGACACTCTGGCACAGGGATGTTAAGTAAGTTGAAATGACCAAAGGTTGTAGGTAACACGTGGCGGAAGGCAATCTTAGCATTAGTTAAACTCAGCCTAGAACAGTGGCCAGATATCACGTAAAAACAAACACACGGATCTGGAAACCCAACAGCCCCCCAACTGATCACAACATGCATTCCATGTTCCTTCATTCATGGTCCTGCTAGGAGCGATAGCCCCCAAAGGCCCAGAAATCAACACTAGGACCCGAAAATCCCAGAATGTGATGCTTAGAAAAAGGCTAAGCAATGGTGCCAGTGGTCACCATCCGCCAACTCTGCTCACCTCCTTCGTGGAGAGGGTGATGCCGAAGGCCCCGGCTATGAAATGAGCGAAGGATGCAGATTTAAAGAAATACTCGGAGACTCCGATGTAGATCATGGAGTCCCTGCGTTCTGGGAGCTCAAAAGGAACTGGAGAGAAGGGGGGGTCCACGAGGCTTTCCAGAGGGTAGAATACGCCCTGTGGGAAAGCAAAGGCCAGTTACCAGAGGAAAACTCAACTGTGCGGGAGTGAGAAGGTGGACCCTGTCACGTCCCAATATGGAACATTCCAGAAACTCGGCAGGGATGAGAAAAACAGCAAGGCCTGCTGACCCCTGGGGCCGTGACTGTTTCAAAGCTGTGCTGACTTGTGCACCTTTGGACGTGTCTGTCCATCTGGGGGTACACAGCACAAGCTCCTGGCTGGTACTTTTCTCAGATAAAGGAAGGAGGGGCTAATGGGGCCACCTCTGAACAGTTCCCAAGGTATCAGACCCTTGACCTTCAAAATCTGTGACTACCAGCTACTTGGGAAATTGTAAAAACACTCAGAAGAGCCCAGAACTCCAAATGGCTTGAAGCATTTTGGGGCATTCCTAATGCTGCTCTCATTAGCCATCAGGTGTCATTGAACAGCATTCAACGGATCTGAAAGACTCTGAGTGAAAGGCAAGCCAAAATGCACTTTAAAGAACAAGGACATTCACCTTGAGGCAAAACTGAACATAAGCCTGAGGAGGAATGTTTTTCCAGGCTCAGGGACAGCCATTTCCATGGACATACGGCCTTGACAGAGGCCAGCAGCCCTCAGTTAAACCCACCAGCCTGAGTCGTGAACAGAAGTACCAATATGTACGACCTGCTCAGGTGTTAAGTTCTAATAAAGGCAGGCCTCCCTACTTTCAGGCTCCTAGTCTCCCACCTACTCCCCAAGACAAAGACCTCCTGATGCTTCTCACAGAGAAGGCAGACATATGTTGTCTGCAAACAATCATTAAACCCATCAAGAAAGGGTTCAAGAGTCTTTTGAAAAGGCCCGAACATGAAGGAGTAGCTAGAAAGAAGATAAAATTATTTGAAGAGCATGTTTGTATATTTTCTTCTGCATAGAATCTTTGTTCTCCAAGTATTAACAGCCAGATGAGGATTTTTGAGAATCATAAGTTTACCTTCAGGTTCAGGTCAAGGTAATGCTCAGTGATTTCTGGAGGACCAACCAGGGAAAAATCCACCAAAGTATAGTTGTCGATCTTGGTGATAACTAAGTGAGCAAAAGAGAAAAAGGAGAATTTATATTCACTAAAGCATACTATAATACATGAATAATGTCTAGAAAGACAGAACAATGTTTTTAATTTTCTATTTAAAATAACAGTTCCCCCCCCCTTTTAAATAAGTAATACATGTTTACTTTTAAAAACTGTGTCCTAATCATGTTACACTAATAAAAATTAGGTAAAATTTTGGTGCACACCTGTTTAGGCACTTCCCTCGATATCTTCGTGAATATACACACAATGAAACTATAGAGTTTCATTTTTATTTTTATTTTTGGTACCAGGGATTGAACCCAGGGGCACTTAACCACTGAGACACATTCTCAGCACCCCCCCCCCCCTTTTTTTGTATTTTATTTAGAGACAGGGTCTTGCTAAGTTGCTGAGGCTGGCTTTGAACTCGAGATCCTCCTGCCTCAGCCTCCCAAGCCTCTGGGATTACAGGTGTGTGCCACCATGCTCAGTTTATAGCTTTGAAAAGGAAATTAGCACAGGGGCTGGTATTGTGGCTCAGTGGTAGAGTGCTTACGTAGTGCGTGCGAGGCCCTAGGTTCAATCCTCAGCACCACATAAAAATGAATAAATAAATAAACAAAGGTATTGTGTCCAACTACAACTAAAATAAATAAATAAATACTTTTTTAAAAAAGGAAATTGGCACAAAGTCCCTTCCAAATATCAAGCCGTATATATTGGATTGAGAGACTTTCGAGTTCAATGTTAGAGTTCTATGTAGCTAGAACTTCATTTTTAAAAATAATAAACACACAATTACTATCACAATTAGAAATTTTTTCAGAGAAGTGATCTTGTGAGAGAGAAGATAAAAATCCATGAAGTTAAAGTAACCAGGAAATTCTCATGCAAAAGCTATTAATTTAATTAAATTTTTTTTGTATTAGCATTTTCGAAACAAAAGCAGAAGGCAAAGGAATCAGGGGATAGTGGTGGGTGAAGTTCTTGGGAAGAAAGATTGCAGAGTCTGAGACGAACAGTAGGTGTGGCAAGGCAGCCTTGGCTTAGGGAGAGCTGCCTTCTGACCACGGTGCTTGGAGGTGTGAAGACTTCCTCTCTCTTCCAGGGGAAGCTACCTGAGCATCACATCTGCTGGGGGAGATGTGAAGCAAGAAGAGATGAAGCAACTTGCTAAGGTAGGTGCACAACATTATCCAACGTCATTATGATTTTAGAAATGTGTCTGAGTGTCCGATGTGGTGGGGGATCCCAGCCGATGAAGCAGGAGAGGAGAATGAGGCTCAGAGTACGCAGGCCAGGATGTGGGAATCCTTGGCTAGCTCCTTCTCCATTCCATCTTCTTTGCCTACTCTCCACCCCATTCACATTCTTCCATCCATCTATCTATCCACTCATCAATCCCTCAGTCCTCTTACCCGTTTCCTTTTATCCCTTCACCCATTCAGTCTTTATTAACCTGGTAGGGGCTGGGTGGGCCTGGTACTGGGGACATAAAGAGGAGTCAAAATTCCAGCTCATAGTCTGAGGGAGGAGGCAGACATAAAACTAGGAAGTTATAATGCAGTCTAGTAAGACAGGATCTAAAGCTGAGCTGAGGGTCCTCGTACCCACCTGCTCTGACTTTCTTCCTCATCTGAGTAAATGCTAATTTCATTCTTCCAGTTTTCCTTTGCTTAGGCTGAAAACCCAAAGTGAGCCTCGACCAGAAGTTCTCATGACCCACATTTGGGCTGCTAGCACATACCACCGTCTATTTTCAAGGTATATCCAGGAGCTGAACATGTCTTCCCATCATTACCACCCACCCTGGGCCAGCTGCCCTGATACCAGGTCAGGGCTGCACTATTTCTAATTCTATCCTTGTCCCCACCCAACCTTCCTGGGTATTGTTAGCATAGTAAGTCAGGTCATACGGGCCTTGCTTAGAACCCTCCAGAACCTCATCTCAGACCAAGCAGACTTTGCAGTGTCTCCAGAGTCCTGAAAATTGAATCATCCCTTTCCCCATCTCTGACCTCATCACCTGCTGTCCCCCCCACTCCCTCTGTCCCTAGTATGGCCTCCTCACTGTTCCACCAACACCCTCGGAGGAAGGCCCTGCTTCACAGCCTTTTATTTGCTTATTTTTTTGGGACCTGGGATTAAACCCAGGGGCTCTTAATGACTGAGCCACATCCTCAGCCCTATTTTGTATTTTTTTTTTAGAGACAGGGTCTCACTGAGTTGCTTAGCGTCTTGCTTTTGCTGAGGCTGGCTTTGAACTCGTGATCCTCCTGCTTCAGCCTCTTGAGCCACTGGGATTACAGGCTTGCACCATCATGCCTGGCTGCTTCATGGCCTTTAAGCTTGTGATTTCCTCTACCTAGAATGTTCTTTGTGCATGCTGTGGTCTGAATGTTCCTCCAAACTTAGGTTGAGACCTAATGGTCAATGTAATGATATTGGTATGTGGGGCCTTTGAGGGTTCCTTAAGGCCTCGGGGCTGTGCCCTCATGAATTGATTAGTGCCCTTTTCTCAGGAGTAAATTAGTTGCGAATGCTGCTAGATTTCCTCCCTCTGTCTCAGGCACACTCTCTTGCCCTTCCGCCATGTTGTGACTCCACTTGGAGGCCTCACCCCCAGGCAGCTCCTCTATCTTGGACTGTCCAGTCTTCACAACTCTGAGATGAACAGACTTCCACGGTTTGTCATCTTACAATCTGTGTAGTTCTGTCGCATCAGCAGAGTCAGGGTGAAGACGATCCAGCTCTGGGGGTTGCTCACTCTCTACTACCTTCAGGTTCTTCCTGCAATGCCACCTGCTCGTCAGTGCTTCCTGGCCACCCTGTCTGAAATGGAAACCTTCACCCAGCTCCTCCCTTGCTTTGTTATTCTTCTTACTACTTATCACGGCCATAAACCAGATTTTACTTGCTTATCTTGCTTTCTGTCTGGCTCATCCCTCTAGTCCTGTGAGGGTGGAGATTTCTGTCTCCCAAGTTGACTGCTACATCCCCAGCACCAAGATCAGTGAGTGCCCAGCCGATTTCAGGTGCTCCTACACCATCCTCGGGTGAATGCATGGAACACGAAGGAAGAGATACATATAAAGTGTTGTGCAAACATCGAGAGGTGTCACTTTGTAGGTTGGGGGTGGTCAAATAAGATTTCTTGGGAAACACAGTGTCTGAGCTGAATCTTAAAGAGGAGTGAATAGGACTGGGGGCAGAGAGAGGAAAGGTTGTGATCTGCAGGGATCAGCAGGCTGCTGGTGCAGAAATATCTATTAAAGGAAGAAATGGAGGGAGGGGAGAAAGCGCTTCCAGGCAGGGTGGACAGGCATAAGCCCAGGCCGGGAGCGAGAGAGCACTGGGAACAGTTTGGTTGCAGGTGCAGAGAGAGGAGCAAGACGAAGCAGAGACAGGTAAGCAGAGCAGAGTCTAACCAGCCTTCAGTCCAGGTGAAGGTGTGTGGACTCCATGCTGAAGGCAGACACTGAAGGGGTTGGAACAGGGGAATAATGTGGTCAAGGTCAGTGTCACTCATATTGAAGTGGATGGATTTAATGTCAAAGCTGGAATTAGAACTTGTGAGGGTTTAGCTCCTGGAATTGCCTCTTGTTCCCTGGAGCAACCCCCTTCTGCACGAGGAAGCTGGTTAGTAGCCCAGGGGACGTGCTCTCTGCAGAGGGAGCATCCTGCCACTTGAAGTCCTGGGACTTGAATCTGTAGGGTGGAAGGAACAGAGAGGAGTGGGCGCTCGCTGCCTTGCCAAGCAAATCTATGGAGCAGCAGCATTTGCAGGTGGGAAGAGAACCACCAGGAGACCCGGTTCTGAGACTCACCCTCCAGTGTGCTGAGGTTGGCGTTCAGCGCTTCCACCTCATTTGTGATAATGGGACACAGCTGGCCACCAAAGAAATTGGAGAGAAAAATAAAAAGCATGTTATCATGTTGAAAGCAAGCCTTCTGGTTAGGAGACATTACCCCTTCGGTCACTACGATTTTCCCTTAAGTTAGTTGACACCCGTGGGCTTTGAGTCCTGTCTATTTGGGCAGCACGTCATTGAATGCTGGCTAAACTCCATAGCAACTGAGACCTCACCCACTTAGCCTGAGGCTTTCCTCCTGTGGCAGGGGAGGGCACGTGCCCCAGTTCATGCTGCTGCTGTCACACCTGGAGAACCTGCCGCTGGAGCGACTGTCTTTCCTCACTGCTGGAGGTGACGTCTCCTCCCTCCACCTCTATCAGCAGCTCATGCCCTGCCTGGACAGCTGGAGCCACTTGACTACCCCCGGGCAAGTTGGAGAGCCCATGAGATCAGAGACCTGTTTAGGGAATGTTGTGAGACTTTTAGGAAGTGGGGCGGGGGGTGGGGAGTATCCATATCAGGGAGCCTTGCGTCTGGGGTTGAATCCCTTGGGAAATCACTTCTGCTCTCTGACCTCGGTTTCCTCATCTGCAACATGGGGGCAATAATTATATCTACCTCATCAAGTTATAAGTAGAAATTCAAGTAATCGACATAAAATTGCCCAGTGTGGAGTAAGCATTCAGTAAATGTTAACAATTACGACCTTAATTCCATTTTACTATTGCTACAGCCTTGAGATGTAGGCACTCTTCCTCTGTTTACAGATGGGAGAAGCAAAGAACAGAGGGTGCGACAGCTAGACAGCTGGGGTCTGAACATTCTCTCTCTTTCTCTTTTTTTCCCCCCATCGGCACAGAGAGAATCATCGATGCAAAGATCTATTATCTCCAAGCTACATAGAAATTCCAGGGAAGCTTAGCTGCTGTGACATAATTCATTTATTGGCCTCCTGTCAGAAGCTTAAAGACCACACCCTGTTTTTAATAAGGGAAAGGTCACCTTGGAGGTGACATCCTATTTGGCAGCCATCCTTGCCAGGTCGGGATGGAGAAGACCATGAAACTCCAGAGTCCCCTGACCAGCTCTGCAGCCTCTGGGGGGCAAACAGCTTGGTGTTTTGGAGGGTTGAGCTTCTTACTGACTTTCATTAAGCACCTACTGTCTGACAAGCACAGACCTGAGCCCTGGGGAGATGAGGGAGCCAGACCCCTTCACCCTTGTCCTTCTGCTCGGGTCCTCATCTCTGTCCCTGTCTCTCCCCGAAATATGAGAATATGGTTCAGAGAAGGTAAGATGATTGGAAAGAGCACACAGCCAATTCCATCCTTCCCTTCCTCAGACACTGGAATCAGGATTGTTATAGCGTTAGGAGGCATCCTGACATTCTGCTTTCTTAATTTATTCTTACTCCATAATCTGGAAATAGCTTTTCTTCTCCCCTGTTCCTTACGTATCCGAATTCTACCTAGAGGCACGACTCAGTCTTGCATCCTCTAGTTCAAATTTTTTCCATTTCTTAAAATTTCTTAGATTCAATCTAATCATCATGTAATTATGTACTAGATTCAAGTCCTCATACAATTGTTGCTTCACAAGCCTAAGTTTTGTTTGTTTGTTTAAATAGACAAGTTTATCACTCTCATGTTCCCAGTAGATCCTAGACCAGTGTGGGGCACGCAATAGATACATAATAAATAAATTTCTATTGGCTGTTTGCCCACTGTAGGGTGAGAAACTGGAGAGAGGAGTAATTTCACTCATCTCCCTAGCACCTACCATGTGGCTGGTATAGAGTAGGGACTTGAGAAATTGTTACTGAGTTGCAAAGGATAGTGTGTCAAAGGGCCTTGCATACAGTAGGTGCTCAGTGAGGGCTTACTGGTAGACCTGCTGCCAATGCTGTTTTACGGAAGACTTACCATTCCATTTAAATTTTTTAAAATGGGTTTCTCCATAGGTTCAGCAAAGGAGTTATACAGGACACTAGGGGGGGAAAAAGAAAGAAGAGTTTACCGGGGCCCACAATCTGCCAGTGGTGAACCTCCCGCGGGTGCTGAGAACCAGCCCCGGATTAGCCATGCCCCACCACTATGTTCCCACTCACCTGAGTTCCCCAGAAAATGAGACGTGGGCATGGCTGGCTTGGGCATAGCAATCTTGGAGCTTCAGAACCGGGTGGCCAAAGTCATTTTGGGTCAGGATAATGATACCAGTAAAGTAGATTTCAGAGAGAAACAGATCAGCTCCTCCCGAGTCATGGCTGCTCCAAGAAAAAAAAAAAGATGTAAGGTTATCCCAGTTTGGGCTAGGCACGGAGATGAATCCTGTTTCTCAGAATGTGTTGCCTACAGGGAGACGATGTCATTTCTGTACATTCTAGAAGACTGGAGTTCTTGAGATGGGGAAAACTAGTACACAGTAGACACTCAATAAGTGGTTGTAGAATGAATGAATGTGGTATTCTGGGGCACCAACCAAGGTATTTGAATTTGACCTCTACTTTTCTGTGGGCTTTTGGTTGGAGGAGAGTGGGACTCATCTACCTACCATCCTCCGGCCTCCATGGGAGCTAAGAAGCTCCCTTTCCCATGGTTGTCCCTGTAGATGGGGAAAGTGCCATCCATGAGAGGCTTAAGATCATGCAGTGATTTTCTAGTGGACCTAAAATGGGGTGCACATTTGTTCCTCTGACACTAAGGAGCCTCCAGTTCTTGGGAAGTCTTACATGACTTCGATCAGCTGCTCTGCACACTCTCAATCTCTCTCTCTCTCTCTCTCTCTCTCACACGCACACACACACACACACACACACACACACACTGCAAGCAGGGAATTTGCTGATTTTGGTCTCACTCTGGAGAAAGATTGTTACTACTGAGAGAAGACCAACCTCACCGAGAAAATCATGGTGAATTTATACATTTTCCCATTTTTGTACCGTTTTGCCCCAGATCAGCAGCAGGTGTTCGGTGGAATACTTACAAAAGTGGAGACTTTATGGCCCAGTTTGTGCTGATGTTGGTCGTGCCGTGGTTGGTCAGTACTTTAATTCCCACCCCAGGCACAAAGGCTAATGAAGTATTTGGAAATGAAAAGGCATTGATTTTTATGCTGTGAGACAAGAAACAGGAAACTGAGTTAGAGCAAAGAGCCTGGGTGACTGTCCACCCTCCTGTTTTCAGGGCAGAGTCTGGGCACCGTCTCCTGATTCCCCTCAGCCTTGGCAGAAGGCGTCTGCTCTCTGGTTGAGCAGAGTAGTGGGCAAGTTCAGAATTAAATTAGTAAATAACCAAATAAACCTACTTCCTCGAGTTTCTTTAAACACAAAAGCAGGTGCAACATCGCTCTCATTATTTTTCCCTTCAGCAGCTGTAGTGTTACTCAAAGTGGGTGACATCAGTGTTCTGGAGGGAACAGCTCCTTGTAGGGGACTATGGTGCACATCAGAGGACGTCTGCACAGGAGTGTCGTTCCCTACTCGTCACTGAGGCAATCTAAGTCACGCCCTCCTCCTGCTCCCAGTTGCCCTCTGGGTGGCCGGTACCTTTCCTAGCTGAGAAACTGATTTGAGAGAGTTGTCTCGCCCTGGGGTTCTCTGGGCTGTTGAGCAGGTGACCCCAGGTACCGGTGAGGCCCTGGGTTGCTTGTCATCGAGATGGCCACATGCACAAGGACAATATCATGAACACCCACTGAGGGAGGACTTCCTGCCAGGCGTGTGCAAGCCTGTGCCCGAGCTCGTTGTAAGCCTCCCCGTGATCCTGGGAGGCAGTTGCTGGGAAGTCACACGTAAGTGGTGGAGGCGGACCTGGGACCCTCCTCAGTCTGACTTCAGACTGCTCTGAAGCCCCAGCTGGGCCATTGGAGTGTGGTGCAATGAGCTCTCAACTTGCAGCCAGGTTTAATTCTAGTCCTATGACCTTGGGCAAGGCACTCGACCTCTTTCACTTATCACTCAAGAGAAGAGCTACTCGCAGGGGGGCTGGGAAGACGTGCCGCAGGTGAGCTCATCCCAGGTGAGTTTGTCTGCATATGATTGAGCACAGGGAAAGGCCCGGCTGTGAGCTAAGATCAGGAAAAACTTTAAAACATGAACATGATAGCGATACAGGATTATTTGCCATGTACCTATCTGTGCATTTTTTCCTAGCTACTCCCCACCATCCATCCTGAGTCCCACCATGGAAAGAGAATGGTGGAGATTTGTTTAACATAGGTCTTGGAAATAGTTTCATTTGGACACATGTAGGCCTAGCCAGCTCTTCATATCTGCTGCACAGTATTCCAAGCTGTGGATGGAACATTTAAGATTTCTTCCTTCGTTAGGAATGATTATTTATTATTATTTCCAGGATGTCTGTATTATAAATGATGCCACAGTGAACATTCTCACTCACACTGCCTGTGCCCAGGAACTTCTCTAGGGAGGATGCTGAGGAGTGAAATTATCAAGTCCAAAAAACACATGTGTATATATAAATCGTAAATCACCTTCTAAAATGGCACCGCCCCATAAAAATAGGAGATATACATGTAATTAAAAAATTTCTAGGAATCACATTTTAGAAAGAAAATAAAACAGTTGAAATTTATTTTATTATTTTAAAATTGGCTCATGGGGATTTACATATTATGGGGGCACGGTGTAGAATTTCAATACGTGTCTACAATGTGCAATGATCAGATCAGGGTACTAAGCATATCTATCACCTCAGATATTTATTATTCTTTGTGTGGGAGCGTTCAAATCTTCTCTACTGGTTATTTTGAAATATTCAATTAACAGTTACCAGTCCTAGTTATTCGACTGTGCTATAGAATGTTAGAGGTTATTATTCCTATTTTAACACACTCCCATGTCTGATAACCACACTGTCTCCATCCCCTGGACCCCACCTCAGATTCTCCTCAGGCTTTGGTAACCACTATTCCATTATCTACCTCTAAGATGTAAACTTTTTAATCAAACATAAAAATGAGAACATTTGATGTTTCACTTTAATGCAACATCCTCCAGTTTCTTCTACATTGCTACAATGACAGGATTTCATTGTTTATGGCTGAATAATATTCCATTACATATGTTTGTATCATATTTTCTTTATCCAATCTTCTGACAATGGACACCTATGTTGATTCTGTGTCTTGGCCATTGTGAACAGTATCACAACACAGATGTTGAGTGCAGATTTCTTTTAGACATGCTAATTTCATTTCTTTTGGATATATACCCAGTAATGAGACTGCTTGATTATATGGTAGTTCTACTTCTAGTTTTCTTAGGAATCTCCGTACTGTTTTCCATAAGGGCTATAACACTTTACATTCCCAGCAATAGTGTTTGAGTTCCCTTTTCTCTGCATCTTCTCCAACATTTGTTACTTTTTGGCTTTTTTGGAATAGTTGTTTTATCTGGGATAGGAGGACATCGCATTGTGGATTTGATTTGCTTCTTCCTGATAATTAGTGACGTTGGATTTTTTTTCCCTCATTTTCACTAACACTTGATAGTATATGATTCTTTCTGTATTTTTCTGCTATGGCATTATCATTATAATTAAATAATTAGCTTAATTAAGGAAATTGTGAATATATATTTAATGTCCAACTCTCCCGCTGGACATTAAGGGTAAGAGATGTGTCTGTATTGTTCACTATATTATTCCCAGTGCCTCAAACAAAGCCTGGAATGTAGTAACTGCTCAGTAAATACTGTTGAATGACTGACTTTCTAATAGACTAGATCACCATCTTTCTTCCCCACAAAGAAACCTCTTAGTTTTATAGAAGGTCGTTGTTGACAGCAGGGAAATGATTCCCTCAAAGAGTTGGAATAGCAGGGAATTTTCTTTGGATTGGAAAGGTGTTTGGGCAATCTGTGATTCAGTCACAGAGAACTTCTTATAAAAGCCTGACCCCACCCCCCACACCTTTAAGATTCAGTTCATGATTGGCAAAGGCATCTTCTCCCTGTGCCGCCTTTGGGGATCTTGTCAGCAACTACGAAAGAGGTTGCAGTGTTTTCTGAACACCCATTTCTCCCCTTTCCCTAAACTTCCCTGAATTTGTTGGAGATGACAAAGTTGTCTGGTTGGAAAACTAATTTTCCTATCTCTCTTGCTGGTACGTTTATCTATTGTTCATAGGCATGATCTTATTAGGGTAGAGTTTCAGAAAGAACTCATTAAAAGAGAGACACTGACTGAACTTTTAAGGGTCCTTTTACCCTTTCTGTTTCCTTCTTCCAGCTGCATAAAACATGGATTTGATGGCTGGAACTGCAGTGGCCATGTTGGGCCATGAAGCAAACTTGAGAATGGAAATCAGAGATAAGGATGGCAGAACAGAACAAGACAAGGAAGCTGAATTATGACGAAGTGAATCTTTTTACACGAATGACAAAGTGCTCTTGACGCCTACTTACTTTGAAAAATTGTAGTCCACATAATCAATCTTCAGAAATTCAAGAGACTCAGAACCATTTAAATCTGGGAGGTTCTTTTCCTTTATCATATCCTCAATCATCTCCAGCCCAGCTTGAACAGCTGTGAAGGAAACAAAAAAAGTGGTGATAATAACCCAGTTGACAGTGATGTAATGATGTTAGCCACATAAATGCAATTTATTAAGCAGGAAATGCTCTTAGGTAAGAACTCAGTGGCTCTACAAAGTGTGTATTGTTGTTTATGCTTTACAGATGGAAACACTGGTCCTCAGAGAGGCGAAGGATCTGGCCCAGGACCATGGAGCTAACATCACGAGGAATTTCCATCATGTGGCCGGGGTGACATTGGATAAAAGACAGTGAGCTGCGAAGGAAGAGCTGAAATATTCTGCAGGGGATGTTGCTGTCATCACCTGGCACACCCTACAGAGGGGAACGCTGTTCCCAGGGGACTTAATTCTTGACCAAATCATACAGCTAAGAACGAGGGGGTGGGGAGACAGTCGTCAAAATCTCAGCGGTTTTGCTTCAGAATCTGTGTGCTGTAGTCAGTTCCAGAAAGTTCCTTCTCATTCTTCTTTCTTTCCAGATTCTTTAAACTCAAGGACTTGGGGCCTGAGGGCCACCATCCACGGGCCACTCTAGAATGACCTGAAATCCTAATGAGAGACGGTGGGTGGGTTGCGTGTGCAAATGTGCCTCAGGTTTTTCCAGAGACAAGGACCCACGTTTTCACCCGGGCCCCCACGGGAAGGATCCCAAGGCTCAGGAAAGGTTAATGACCTCTGCTTTAGTTTCACCCTGGGAGTCACCGGTTGGCTTTTCCTATGGAAGCACCCGGAACACATTTCTCTGAGCTCATGGGGGAAGAGCACTCTCCCACATTAAAGAGCTTGAGAGAAGCCACCTTCATAGTTAATCAAGAAAGAACTTTCACGTGTTTTTATTACTGCGTCATAGTCATACACATGGTGGGGTTCACCCAGACGTGCATGGGATGGAATTTGCTCCCTTTCATTCCCTGGAACTTCCTCTTTCTCTCCTTCTCCTTAGGATGAGTTTCTATCCACATTGTCATTCACATACAAATTGGGCAGGATGAATCAATTTTAGGTGGCCCTGCGGGCTAGTGACCACTCCTAGTGGCCAAGAAAGTCTCTCCCAAATTCCCAAAGCAACCCAGGGACATGTGTCTCCTTATCCCAATTTCACTGGGAGGCAGCTGAGGGCTCAGAGAAGTTCACGAACTTGCTGGTGAGTCCACAGCCAGCGAAAGAACGGTTCCTCTAGGACTTAGAGCAATTAGGAACAGAGACCAAGGGCAGGTTTAGGATCAGGCAGAGCAGAGCTGCAATGGTTTGGATCCAGATGTCCCCAAAAGCTGCTGTGTTGAAGGCTTGGTCCCCACTTGACTCAGGGGCACTCGACCACTGAGACACACCCTCGGCCCTATTTTGTATTTTATTTAGAGACAGGGTCTCACGGAGTTGCTTAGGGCCTCGCCCTTGCTGGGGCTGGCTTTGAACTCTCAATCTTCTTGCCTCAGCCTCCCCAGCTGCTGGGATTACAGGCATGTGCCACTGCGCCCGACTTGTTCTTTCTTTCTTGATATTTTTAGTTGTAGATGGACATAATACCTTTATTTTGTTTATTTAGTTTTTTTATATGGTGCTGGGAATCGAACTCAGTGCCTCATGCGTGCTAGGCAAGCGCTCTACCAGCCCTACACACGTGTTCTTAGTACGTAATTCTGTACACATCATCCTTCACACAAAATTGTGCAAGATGGATCAATTTTAGATTCCCTGTGTCCTGTGAGCTACTGGGAAAAGACAAAGAGTTTCTCCCCAATTGACTCTTCCTTTCCTCCTTCTTCCCCCTTTTTTCTTTCTTCCTTTCCTCAATCCCTCGTTTATTTCTTTTGCATTATCACTGGAGAGGAATTTCTTGGTTAGATGTAAGTATTTTCAGGTTAGACTAGTAGTTGTTGGATTAACTACTTCAGTTAAAGAGTACCAGGAAGCTGGGCAAGGTGGCACATGCCTATATCCCACCAACTTGGGAGGCTGAAGCAGGAGGATTGCCAATTCAAGGCCAGCCTCATCAACTTAAAGAGGCCCTAAGCAACTTAAAGAGATCCCTGTCTCTAAATTAAAAAAAAAAAAAAAAATATATATATATATAAATAAAGGGATGGGGATGTAGCTCAGTGGTTAAGCTCCCCCCCCAGAGGACCCATCTTTAATCCCTGGTGTGCGCGTGGGCGCGCACACACACACACAGTACCAGGAGAGCTCTGCAAAACTATATCCAGCTAATCTCAGGAAAAATCTCCCACAGGAGAAATATAGGTCCATATACTTTGATTTTGCAGTCTCCTTCCTTGGTACAATCTGCTCCCACCTCAGTTTAGCCCAAAGAAAACCACGTTCTAACATTTCTCTTCTCCCTATTAGGTACAAACAACCTTTAAACCAGGGCCTTTTAACCTTTCAGAGTCCCCGGCTCCTTTGCATATCAAATGAATACAACAGAGTCTCTATCAAGAAGCACAGAATCATCACCCACATTAAACTTTGCACTTGATTGGAGAAGACTCCAAGTCCCCTTTGAAGTCAGACATTTTCTAAAGCTCAACGGAGTTGCTTTTACTCTCACATTTCCTTCCTCTCTCCTACAGAGCTGTTTACTCAGCACCCCGAGGTATCCCTCTTGCATGTGCGTGGGAAGGCCAGGTGGGAGCCTGTGTGTGGGTGTGCCTTCCAGGGGGTGAGCACTTAGCTTCCATATAAGGGACGGGATCACCCCAAAGGGGAGCCTGTTGCAGTCCCCAGATAGTCCAAGCCATGAGCTGCTGGGCGTGGGTCCTAGACTCCACGGGGCAGGGCTGAGGCCGGCTGCTGAAAGGGTCAACTCACCATAGTCCAGTGCCCGCTGAGTGACCCTCGCCTTGATGCCGGGGTACATGGTCTGAGAGGAGGAGGTATAGAGACTCCACAGGAGGAAGCATCCCCAGAGGACCGGCACTGCCTTCATTCGCATCTGCAACGAACCGACATTTACGGCTTTAATACCCTGGACTCGCTCCTGGGTCAGTCCCACTCAGAATCCCTAGCCCTCCTCATTTTCATGACTGATTTCCAGAACTTCATTCATCTGTCCACCTGTCTATCAGCCCATTCATGCTTCCATTGATTGAGCACATCAGAATGTGTTGTAGATGCTAAGGATGTTGAGGTGACCAACATGTGGCCCCTGACCTCTGTTTCCCATAGACTAGGGAGTGAGACATGTGTGTGAACACACACACACACACAATTATAATATGATACAACACAACAGCCTTATAGTAAACTCAATGTTTGGGATGTGCCCTGGAATGGACACTGGGTGGGGTGGGGGAAGAGATTCTTGGAAGTTTTAGAACAAACAAGTTGGTAGATTAAAAAGATGGTCTTTGTGGCTGTGAGGCAATCCCTCATGTGCTTAGAGACCCTTGCCAAGTCCCCTTTGCCTGCAAGACTGGGCTTCAGCTCTTAGCTTGGTGATCAAGACTTTTCACGGGTGACTAGGTAGTCACTGTGCCTCCTCTTCCAAGTGGTGTGTTCCAAGCAGGCCACTTTGGGCTATTTGCTCTTCCTTGGTTTGCTAAGTTCTCTCATCCTTGGGGACACCGTGTTCAACTCTCCCAACAGCAACACACACGCATGTCTACATCTGGCACCCCACCACCTGAATCAGGCACCCACATTCTGCCTGGCGAAGGCATCCTCCAGGCTCAGCTCCAACGTCCTCCTCTGTGAGAATGTCCCTCACCGTGTCACGTCCCTCTGGGCTCAGCACACTCTCCTCTGTGCCTCGGCCACATTTGCATGATGCGGAAACACACATTGGACACATGATGCTATCTGGCTCCAGGGGGGCACCCCACCCCCTGGTTCCAACTAATATCACTTCGTGTGGGTGTTTGCCATGGCCTTGCTGGTCACCGGGCTCCAGCCTTTGTCCCTTTCTGGGTTTTTCACCCCACCTCAGCCAACGCAGGCTTTTATAATAAAAGTCAGGTCGCGTTCCACCTCTGCCCCACTGCAAAAGCCCTTTGGTTCCTTCCTTCTTACTCTGTGAAGGCCAGAACGCTTCCCCCTGCCCCTTCCCTTGATTCATTTTCCCCGAAGCACTCGTCATCTGGCATAGTGCACGGTTACTCCTTTGTTTTCCCTACGGAAACCTTTGGTCTTCACAGGGAAGTACTTCAGCACCCTGGACAGCGACTGGCACACAGTAGGTGACATACTGACTGACTGGGATGAGTGCATTCACGGCTCCTTCATGAGGCTGTGAGTTGGGTCAGTGCGCCTGATGGGTTTCTACTGGACTCAGGACAGTCCTTGACCTTCGTATGTATTGCCCTGTATTATGAGGTCTTTCCATCTGTCTGTCTCTCCTCCGAGGGGCTCTGTTTTCCTTTTGTAACTCCAGAGTTGAGCACAGTGCTCGGCTCCCACTAGACAGACAGATGAGTCTTTAAATAAACACCCTGTCCAAGGAGAGGGATGGCGTCTATTTACCCTTATGTCTCTTGCGCTTAGCGTATGGGTCAATCTACGCCTGTTGAATCAATGCCACCCTATTTTCTTGCCAGAAGAAGCACAGGTGCCCACAGCGAGAGGGTTGTAGATTTCTTTTACGGGCAGCCGAGTGAGGGATGGCTCACAGACCTTGATTCTGGTCTTGAGGTTTCCCATCTGGGTGATCTGTCCCTGCTGCACTCACACATGCCAAAGACCCACAGGTGACAGGTGCCACTGAGTTCACACACACCCCTGAAACACATCGAGGCAGGGGCCTGGAGGAGGTGCTCAAGGAAGAGGAAGCCCTGAGAGCCACGTGTTCAGGCAGAGGGAGGGGAGTGGCCTGTGGCCAGGTAAGAGTTAGGAGAGGACCCAGGAGGTTGGACGTTGGATCATGGGGGGGACCGGCGAAGTCTTGGAGGAGTGGCCAGGGTAGTTGGGAGCACCGGTTAGTGACACTGAATCAGGCACCCGCATTGGGAGCACCGGTCAGTGACTCTTTACTATCAGAGGCTGAGGCTTTTCAGTATTTTAAGCAGGTTTGGCCTTCTGTGTCCGTGGATGTTTCAACACTGCAGGGTAAACTGGTCTGGTTCTGCAGGGCCATCTACAGAAAGGAGTGGTGGCCGGGCTGGGGGGGTCCTGAGGACAGGCCGGGAGCAGCAACCCCAGGGGACGCCCAGAGGAGTGGGAATGAGAGCATCGGGAGGGAGAGGAGGGGCTCTGCCGAGCAACCAGCCATCTGAGGGTTGGAGGAGAGATGAGGAGTGGGCAGGTAGGTGCTGTCCACATGGCCCACGCTCAGAATGGAGGCTGCTCCAGGGCCTGTGTGGGAGCTTCCTTGATCCTTTACTGTACTGTAGGGCCAAGGGGTCCTGGAGAGGAGGAGGTCAGGTTGACATGAGTGGCACCATGGGAGGGAGGGGGACAGTCCAGGGACTCAGGTTGGTGGCTGTTTGCCTATTGGTATGGAACCATTTCCACATTTTAACTAATGGTGAGGCCACATGGATGTGTGGTCACAGTAATATCACTAGAAGAGAGAGAATTGTAAGTGGCAGTGTCTTTTTTATCAAAGAGCAAACTATTTTCATAGCAGTGGAAAGAGATAGGAAAAAACATTAGACCGAAAAGTCGGTGCCCCCTAGACTGGGTGAAACGAAGGAGCAGAACCTCAGTAAATATTTGCTGACTGGCTTACGAGATTCCAGTTAACTAAGAAAAGTTCTAGAAAAGGTTGGGAAAAAAATTATATAAGATAGTTTGATTTTTCCACATCCACAGTGGAAAAAAGCCAACTAAACCAAAGCCTAGATAATACTCACTAATGGAACAACGACCCAGATCATAAATTTATATTTCTTTACCATTTACAAAACTCACAAGGTAGATGTCATTTCTTGCCCCTATTTTAGACACCCGGACCTGGAGACTTATAAAGTCCAAATGACTCATCCCAAGACCCCACAAGTACCTAAGAATAAAAATCTTCTGGTTCCCAATTCTAGTGTTTGTGAATTGTTTTCCCATAGGAATGACTTGATAAACGCTAGGTTTTCTATTTTCTTCTGGGAATTTTAAATAGGAGTCCCTCAATGCCATCTTTAAAGTGGAAAAAATTCAGTAAGCAACTGGAAATTTCTAAGCATCTGACCGCATTTCTGTGTTTTCTTGGGCATGGATAGTGTTTAAAATTCCCTTCTGGCAGTAAAACCTGTTTTTCTTTCCTGGTCAAAAGAAGTTTCCAAAGTGATATTTTTGGATGGAGATTTAGGAACGGAAAACTGTCTATAGAAAAACATATATATTTTTTCCCTCTAGAAATTTTATGAGTGAAGGAAAGGGATGGATTGTACATTAACTTTCAGTTGATTTGTTTGGTCAGGATGATAATTTGTGGGCAGGGGAGGACAGGAAGCCTGTCAAGCAAGGTGGTGACTCCTAAAGGTTAAGTAATTTGGCTGGCAAGTAAGGGCAGGGTGCGTGGCTTGTTAAAAGAAAAGATCCAAGATGACTTAGGAGCCCTCTCGGCAGCTGAGGAACTGCTTCTTTCCAAGATTCAAAACCTCAGTAGTTAAGAGTTCCGTGCCAACATGCAGCTGGAAGAGCTCCCCTAGATGAAATGGTTCTTGTTTGAGCCATTGGTGACCAGGAATAAGAAAACACCAGCACAGTGTAGAACATTCCGGAGACTCACAGCTTGGCTTACCACTGCGGCTCGTTGGCAAGAGCTTTGACAGATCTGGAAAACTTTGAGTAAGGGAGCGAGGAGTGAGTGAAAAGTAGCCTTCAAAAGCAGAGGCACATGTTGAAAATTAAGTTCACCGGGTTTAAAGACATCGACGCTAGGAGGATATTCCAACATACATTGGTTAAGACAGAACGAGTGCAGAAGTCTCCACCAACAGGAATGGAATGTGGGCAGCACTGGAGACTGTTTCAAGGGATTCCACCCTCACTCACATCTGATTTTATAGCAAGATCTTCAATGACAAAAGGACCCTGAAAAATCCTGTAAGTCTTTCCTCCCCAGACCCCAAGGTGAACACCGACAGGTTCAACTATTCAGGCCAGTGAGAGGGCAGTTTTGCTCTGGCAAGATCCGGGTCACTGACACAGTTTAAGGCCTGGCTCCAAAGCAGAGATCATAATAGCTCCTCTGCCCTAACCACCCCGACGGAGAAATGAGATAGAGTTTTTCTGCCCCTGTGCTGGGTTCCTCCCTGAAATGGAGGCAAAACTCAGTCCAGACCATTGAGCGACCCTCTTAACTTTGCTACACCAGACGAAACTAAACAGATAGTCTAAACTGACACTTGGATCTTCCTTAGTCTGGTCCAGTTTTCATTAAACCTTTTGCCTAGGTAGACACCAAGTGGACATGAGTGACATAAAATGAATAAAACACAGAAAAGCCTAGGCAGAGGGTAGTAGTAACTCAGGACTTTTTACAGCTGACTTTTCAAAGGGTTCTACCAGATCTGAGACACCCCAGCGAGAGATCCCTGTTCCGAGATGGGTGCTGGCAGAGACCTGAAGTTTGTTGATTCTTACTTACCTCAAGCACAGGAGGTGTCCAAAGCTGGGGAGCACCTTCGCTGCCCTCTGCCTATGAAGTCGATGTGTTCTCCAGCCTTAACCCAGCTGCCGGATTGCGGGGATAATTAAGTCTGAATCACTGCCCTGGTGGATTCTTTCAAAATGTGACACAGGATTGCTTCACTACAATTACCCAATGGCATGAATGAACACTACAGTCTCTACCAAGGTGAACAGCCAATACCACCTAGGCGATAGTTACCAGCTGGAAACACACACACACACACACACACACACAGACATACACACACACACACACACACACACACCACTTGTGAAATTGTTTCCACTACTTCACCAAAATGACTAAGTCAAGACTCCTGATGTATTGAAAAAGGTGCAAATCACATTGAATTGGAAGAGGAGGAGGAC